ACTGTATATTTCAATTTCAGCAGGCAACTTTTACAGCTACATTATTGTTTCAGCCACAATTAATCACAACAATGTATATACAATTGCAAATGATTATATATAAATCGTCAGTTTACCTCAGTTATCATGAAAAAGCCAGGAAATTTCAGTTTTGACAATATGGGACCTTTAAGACTTCACTGGCACCATCATTGGCGAAAAACATTCAACCAGCACAAATTTTTGTGGCTGCTACTTTCTTTTATGATCAATGGTTGTGGACTATATGGTACTAACCTTTCCATATTTCTGTTGGGGTAGGAGCAGGATAGTGGATATACAGCATGACTCAAGACAAGGTATGCATAGTTAAATACCTCCTTCCCCTGCATGGCACCATAAGAGCTCTGGCCAACATAATTTCCTAACATACAGAGAACAGTTAAAATTCAAATGCTTTAATTTTTACTTTTGTAAGGATAAATCAACAATGTAGCCATTAATACAGCTTTTCAAACTTCGAAAGAAAGATTTTTCTTTTTTTACCATTCTACAACTGTACACAGTGCCATTTCAAGCACACATCTGCATTTTTGATTATGTATAAGGAATAAAAACATTGACATCTAGTACAAATTCAAGAAACTCAAGAACACCAGCTAAAACCCTAAATTTAACTTGAAACCAATAGAAGGGGATAAAACTGGTTGGTCTATGATGGTTTGTCCCATACCTGGCAAGTTTGGGTCCTCAATACAGAGCATTGAGGGTCTATATCTATTCTCAATGACCTTCATGATCTCCTCTTTAGCAAGATAAGCTCCTCCATCCTTCACACGGATGCCTGTTTTCAGATAATTAAAATGGCGCCCATACAATTCAAAGAATTCAATGAGCAGGATGCCCAAATTAATATTGGAAGCTCTGCAGTCTATTCTGGGATGGAGCTGAAATAAACACCAAAAGACATAATGGTTTATTTTAACAATTACATGATCAAATCAATCAATTGTGTTCATACCATGAAGTTCAATATTCCCAAGAGATGCTAAGTACTGTTATATCATTTGTTCTCATTTGGTCTTTTGACCATAATTTATATCAATTAGCAGTAGGGAAACACTGGCTGGAAATCACTATGCACAAAAGCACATGAAAATACCTTTTATTGATGCCTCACCTGCAGGAAGCTGATGACCATTAAAATGAGGCTGTAGGAACTGATACCGCCTGTAAACACCTCGTTCAAATCTCTCTGGAGCAGAAAATGCTTCAGCACAAAGATCAAGTATGGCAACACGGAATATTTCTACATTAAAAAAAAAAAGAACTGCAGTACATGTATATCAGAAATATTTAAGTTCTCATAAAATGTCAGGTTATGGATACATTAATCATTCAATATCAATGCAAATCAGCTTTAATGTTTACAAAATTCAGTGGCTACATGTTTTCAGTTCTACCACACCAAATCAAGCACTTAATCTGGGCTTAGTGTGCTCATTCAAATGAATTACAGTATGAATTACAAATGAATCTCTCACCTTAAGATGATCCTTAATAAACCGAGCTGCTTTGACACCAGTTTCAACATTAAAACTGATGTCTACCTTCACATCTGTCTCTCTGTCAGTCAGTTTAATTATTGGTACCTGTAAAGAAAAGGCTCTGATAACTAAACCAATTCCTTAATTCTCGGAAAGAAGGCTTTTTTTTTTCTCCAATCACCAGTGAAACACTAAAGAACAGTGCGATTTATTCAGAATTTCTTTTGGACTTTCACCTCAATAGCAGCCCTGATTGCAAAAGTAGAAGTTCTGTCAAAATGCAATCTTGTAACTAATATTTAACACCGTACAGAATCGTCATTTGAATGCCTGTCATTTACAATCTCCCATATCACTTGCATGTTCATTTTTTGCCCTTCATAACAGATTTTAAGGGGTTCATATGATAAATCAAAAATTGTTAAAAATGTTAAAAGTTCATAAAAGTTTGTTAAAAACTAATACTTGCTTTCAATTTTTTTTGTATTCTATCGGTTTTCTTTGCATTTATTATACAATTAACAAAAGCAAAAAGACCTCCAACACTAGCTTGCTCTATCTATTCTATTTCTATTCTATTGGTTTTCTTTTTATTTATTATATTATTTAAAAAACCCTTGCTACGTGTACTGCATTATGCTAACTGAGACTTGTTAGAGCACTTGTATACCATTGCTCTTTTGTTGATTTTGATTGCTTCCATTGTCCTCATTTGTAAGTCGCTTTGGATAAAAGCGTCTGCTAAATGACTAAATGTAAATGTAAACGTAAATGTAAATCAAATTTTAGAACATGACAAACTGCAATACTTCAACTTTCAGAACTCATTATTTATCCCTAGTCCAAAAATTTTAAATAAAACCAAGCTGTTCACCAAACCTTGGCTGTTCTTGCAGTGTTGCCAAGTCTGCTGATTTCCCACGAAATTGGCCTACTTTCATACTGTTCCCACAGTTGAAGCGAACCCCCCCCCCAAACACAATTTCAACCAAGGTGGAACCTCCTGGAGGTTTTATGCAGACCTGGCAATCCTGTGTTCCTTGCTGCATACAAAACAATTATGTAATAGATCCCCTGATCATTTCAGTCTGAACTTAACCTTATTACTTCTTTAAAAAAAAACAACAACAAAAAAAAAAACACTTCTAAAGGCACTTCAATGAAGAGGGATTGCAACCTATAGGTGCTCAATGAAGAACAAATAATGACTAACCGTAGCCTTGTCAAGTAGTTTAATGGAGAACGGCTCAGCCACTTTATTCTGCCTGAGTGCCTGGTCCAGCTGCTGCAGAGGAGGTTGTTCCCATTTTCCATACACCACCAGGTCAATATCACTACATAATGCAATTAAAAACAAAACCACACAATAACAAAAAAAATTACAACATATGGACAATCACATGCAATACCTGGTAGGAAGATAAAGTCCTGTACTGAAGCTGCCAAATATTTCAACCTGAAAACAGAAAATAGCACTTTAAAAAGACATGGCGTTGGACTATTACATGCACTTCACTCTGCAATCTTTGGCTAACCTTGTTCACATCAAAGCCACAAACACGTCAAACTGCAATTTACCATGTAGTGACAGAAAATCTAAAGAAAAATTAGTTTGGAAAGGCAAAGATTAAATGCGTTCTCTCGTTAAGATGAGCTTGTAAATTTGTAGATGGAGAAATCTGCATGCAAGTTTTTTTTGCATTTTTCTACTTGTTACTTTGCACTTTTTGTTAGAAAATGTTTATTTACTATTTATTCAGGTTTTTTAAGGTATCTAATATTTAGATATTTAATTTCCATGATCTAAATATTCTTAAAAATGAAACATTTGTTGTCATTTGGAAGTGTGTAGGCCTTCTTGCATTATTATGCTTTTACATTATGATTATATATTCAGAGGCATAAAATGGACTTTAAAATGACAATAATATCGCTTATTGCAATTATTTCTGGGGCAATATATCGCACAACAAAAAGTTGTTATCGTGATAGGCCTAGATGAATATAGCTTTTTTTTGTCCTCCACTGTTAAACGGCAACATGCAATCTCTTTGTGCTAGACTCACCTTTGCCATGGGCCACAGATCTTTGATTACAGTCTCAACACGATTGACAACATCTCTCCTCATTTCTTCCTCTTCTGGGCGTGGTGACATGAAATGATAAAAATCCACCATCTCCTCATGGAGGCTGGGGAGTATAAACATTTGTGTCCTCCATTACAAAGGGACTTCTGAACACACTTTCAGAAGTTAATTTTAAAAAGCCAAGTATTAAATCAAAATGTGTAAATAGTGTTTTAGGTTGCAAGTGTGTCCCATCGGGTAACCAAAAGTTTTACATACATGTACAGGAAATATGTAATGCAAGTAGACGTTCTTACAGGTTTCTGAAAACCAGATTAATGGAGCAATGGAAAGGTGTTGGGAAAGCTGCTTACTCACCAAACTGAATGTATAAGCGGGTTAAAGGGTTAGTTCACCCAAAAATGAAAATTCAGAAATGTAGCAAGGAGATCTGTAAAATAATCCATGTGACATCAGTGGTTCATCCGCAATTATACGAAGCTACGAGAATACTTTGTGCACAAAAGAAAAAGAAAAAAAAAACGACTTTATTCACACAGAACAGCATACGTTGTTTACGTCCAGCTGATATTCTCCAAAATGGCACCAGGGTGATGCGGAGGAGACGAATGGTTGAATAAAGTCTTTTTTTTTTTTTTTTTTGCGCACAAAAAGTATTCTCGTAGCTTCGTATAATTGCGGATGAACCACTGATGTCACATGGATTATTTTACAGATCTCCTTGCTACGTTTCTGGACTTGGGAACATTTCAGTTGCGTTGCTGTCTATGCAGGGACAGACTCCATCAAAAATATCTTAATTTGTGTTCTGAAGGTTTGAAACAACATGAGGGTGAGTAATTAAAGACAGAATTTTCAGTTTTGGGTGAACTAACCCTTTAAGAGTACAATACTAATAAAATGTAAGTAAATGTTAATGTTACTTGTGTGCAATTTGTTTAGGAATCCAACAGCTCACTTCCCTCATGAGTCCAACAGCTCACTTCCCTCCCTCACTACTCAGTTCCCTTGTAATAACTGACTTTATGCATGTGCAATGTACTTGTCTAATCAGATGAAAGTCTTCATAATCTTTAATCAAAATATGAAACCGTTCATTTCTTCTCTGATAACGTCACTTTGAGCAATTTGTTTAGGAATCCAACAGCTCACACAGAGACCTAGGGTGGATGTCAAGAATTGGAAAGCAACCCAGTTTTCATTTATACTTCTGCGTCGTTGTCCGCGTCGACATGCAGTACACATGCAAACCGCTAGTCTGTAGTGTCCACGGGCATGTTGCTGGTGTAACCCGCAGTACCACGGCAAAAGCTGAAGAAGCAGCGGCTCATCGGAGAAGCATTATAGCCGTGACGGCAGCAAATAAATATCAAATCATTATTTAAAACCACAAAAAGGAGACAACAACAGAACAGGAGATGATGGCATTCTTTCAAAGCATCATATGACCCCTTTAGCACGCACATAAACACACACAAAACTCAAGTACATACAGAGGGAGGGGTTCTAGCAGACCAATCACAGCGCTTGCGGTCCGCGTAGAATTGACGCGCTGTTAGATTTTTGGAGAGGTGCACGTCAGGCTACAGCGTAGGGTGTGCGTGTAAGTGTAGGCTACGGCGTAGGTTCGACGCAGAAGTATACATTGGGCTTTACTCAGTTCCCTTGTAATAACTGACTTTATGCATGTGCAATGTACTTGTCTAATCAGATGAAAGTCTTCATAATCTTTAATCAAAATATGAAACCGTTCATTTCTTCTCTGATAACGTCACTTTGAGCAATTTGTTTAGGAATCCAACAGCTCACACAGAGACCTAGGGTGGATGTCAAGAATTGGAAAGAGTGGCCTTTTTGTGTACCACTGAAAAAAAACATGAACATGAATGTCTCCCTCTTACTTTCCTTCGGCTGCCAACGTTAGGGGTCGCCACAATGGAATTATCCGCACAGCTATTTGGCACAGGTTTTATGCCGGATACCCTTCTTGACGCAACCCAGCACTTAGAGTGCACTAACTCATACAACTCATGGGACACACTTAGAATGCGCATAAATAAATGACACAATTTTCATTTTTAAATTAACTGTTCCTGTAAGTGACAAACAATAGGCACATTTTAAATTTTCAAAAATGAAAGCTTATCACTTTTTGTAGGTTGTGAAAGAAAGGGACTTGCTTTATGCACCAAGAGCTTGTAACACTCCAAAGAGAAAGGAAAAAATGAAATCGCATCATATGACCCCTTTAATCTTTAAACCTTACCTGTGGTTTAAAATAAATAAATAAATACATACATGCATACAAACATACATAAGCTGATTGGTCTTCAGATGCTCTGAAACCCTGGGACCCTCCAAACATGGAATCAAAACACCTCAGTAGTAATTGATGAACTAATTCAGACCTGCATCAGTGTCAACCTATTATACCTTTGGGGCAAAGATTAAAAGCTTTGGACACAACACACAATCACATTTCTATAATAATTATAGAAATGTTTACATTTACATTTAGACATTTAGCAGACGGTTTTATCCAAAGCGACTTACAAATGAGGACAATGGAAGAAATCAAAATCAACAAAAGAGCAATGATAAGCAAGTGCTTTAACAAGTCTCAGTTAGCTTAATGCAGTACAAGTAGCAAGGTTTTTTTTTTTTATCATATAATAAATAAAAAGAAAACGGATAGAATAGAAAAAGAATAGAGCAAGCTAGTGTTAGAGGCCTGTTTTTGCTTTTGTTAATCAGAAGTCATCAGAAAGTCAGAATTAGAATTGTATAATAAATAAAATTAAAAAAATTTAAAATAAATTTTTTTTTAGAAAACAAGCAGTTAGTAAATAAATAAATAAATAAATAGAGTGCAAGTCTAAAAGGGGCAAGTTTTTTTAAATAAAGAATAGAATTAGAATAGAGTGCTAGATTTAGAGGGTCAAATAAAGATGGAAGAGATTTGTTTTTAGCCGATTCTTGAAGATGGCTAAGGACTCAGCTGCTCGGATTGAGTTGGGTAGGTCATTCCACCAGGAGGGAACATTTAATTTAAAAGTCAGAGAAAGTGATTTTGTGCCTCTTTGGGATGGCACAATAAAGCGCAGTTCACTTGCAGAACGCAAGCTTCTAGAGCAGGGCTGGTCTGAAGTAATGAATTTAGGTAAAGGGGTGCAGAGCCAGTGGTGGTTTTGTAGAATGTTATGGTGTGTTGAGTCCAAAGCTTTTAATCTTTGCCCCAGAGGTTTAATAGATTGGCAATACAAATACAGCCTAACACTGTACTTTGAATTATAGTATAATTCAAAGTACAATGTTAGGCTGCATTAATTGCTCTGACACAATCTGTATTGTATCAAGCACTACAGAAATAAAGCTGACTTGATTTGACTTGATACCATAAACAACTTTCCTCAGTTGATAGTTTTCCTGATAGTAACTAATAGTAATTGTGCTTCTAAACGCATTTAGTTCTGAATTGTTAAGACTTTAAACTTGCTTATTTGTTTGTCTGGCTCAACAGTTCATAATATTGCTCTGGACTTGCTCAGTTAATAAATGAATAAACTAAATAAATAAATGAAAAAAATATATAAAAGTGAAAAGTGTCTCCCAATATAAGGAACATGCTCTTACCCGTTGACACCTGGACTGTATCTTCTGGTTGCCCAAGGGGTCCCACATAAATGACTGCCATTAGAGTGGGACATAAAGTAGTTCATTCCATATGTACTCGCTTTATTGTCACTTCTCTTTCTTACTGGATGGTGTTTAAGGTGGTTATCCATAATTATTTGTGTATGTAGCCGCTGGTAATGTTGTTGTAAACTGTTATTGAAATTGTGCAGATGTTCAGAAAAGTTAAAGTGAAGTTTGGTTGGATGTGCGCTCATACTGTCACTAGTGGCAGACGAGGAATCTGATGTCGGACTGTCACTCTCGGAATCTCCTGAAGATAAAGGTGAAGAATCACAACCGTTGACTCCGATAGGGGTGACACACGGAGGTGCAGGATCAGAGAATGCGTTTGTAGATCGCATGGCACCACTATCATTATAAGGCTGATTGGAGGAAATGTTAATAGGTTTTCCAGCTGTGTTGGTGGGAAGCAGCGATAACTGCTTCACAAAACTGGCCGCCAAAGCAGGTGTATTCACCCGCAGCGACTAACAGTGGTTTCGCCTTTGCGAGGTTTCCCATACGCGCATCCGTAAAACGTTGGCAGGTCTTTTTTGCTCGGGCTGAATCCAAGCCATCCGAGGATCCATCCAACTTTACTGTTACAAAGCTCACAAACACTCTCTCGTTAGGTTAGACAGGCGTCCTCAAGAGTCACAAGACTGACGTGAATTTGCGAGAGGCTGAGTAGAAGTTTAAAAACGGAACACGAAATAAACCAAGAGCGTTCCTCTGCGTGAGATGGTTTGCAGCGAACTGTTGAATCCAGAGCATTCCAATATGGCGTGCAGGGAATCTCGACTAGAGTGCGCATGTCTCTGAGAATTTAAATTATTTCTGGAAGAGTAACACCCCCTTCAATTTCCCCACCCATTTATCCAATCCAATAAAATAAATCCAATCCAATAAAAAATGTGATGCGAGTATTTACAGCGGAATTCTAGGGGGGTTTTTTTCTTTTGCAATATAGTGAATAATTTTTATTTAATGTTATAAAAACTTCACCCCATTAATGAAATTAAAGCAACATAGCATGTAAAAATTATGATAGACATAAAACGGTGATTCAGCCTGCAACATGGTTTTGGTGGGTCTGCAGCTGGAAAATTAAAGATTATTAAACAAAGAAAATTTCTAATAAAGATAGATCATTTCAAATATATTGCTAGATCAAATTGACATTACTTACCGCAGCTTATTGCTCCCAATAAATTGCAGTTGACAGTTTAGAAGTCAAGACTGAAACAAAACATGATCATCAGAAGTTGCTTTCTCAGCCACAATTTACCTTCACGCTGTTATTAACCACAACACTTCCAAACTGGAATTTTATGAAAGGTTCTCTTACTGTCTTTAAATCAAAAACTGCCATGAAAATAATCAGAACTAAAATTATAAAAGGATGCATTACATAACGAACAACAGTTCCTAAGTGTCTAATCAGATCAGGACAAAAGCAGATAATGTATCAAGAATATAATATTCCAAGCAGAAAATAATTTTTTCGATAGTCATCATTTTAGACTAGAAATAGAAAAAAAATTGTTCTGAATGTTGATGCTGACAAAACAACAAAAATGCAAAAACAAACACATTTTTAAGTTCAATACAAATTATCTTTATGGTATAAAGTTATTTTCTTTAATCTACATAATATACATAAATGTACAATAACGGCATGATTTCCTTGATTTTCAGTAACCAATCACAGTTCACAGTCAGTCACAGATCACAGTCGGAAAAAAATAAAAAAAAGCATACGAAGTGATAAAAAATAAAAAGTTCAGGATTTCATTTGACGACAAATAGAGCCAATCTGAGTGATACAGCTGGTCACAGCAGAGGGTACTGGCTGTGTGGTTTCACTTCGCCATGATGCCAGAGCCTCCATGGCATCTTTGGGGTTGCAGGGTGCCAGGTCATAAATGGCATAGACAGCAGACAACTGCACCTCATTAGGCACACCTGCAATCATAACAAATGGTTGTATTGTGATTCATGGTGGGCTGCTAAGTCTAAAGCTATAGGTTTATATACAAACAAACAAACAAATAAATAAAAGCAAAATAATGTATTACAATATTTTTAATTTGCTGTTACAGTTATGTTACATTATTTGATGTTCAGTACCTTCAGTAATCCCATGTTTTCCAAAGAGGTTTATAGCTTTTGCAACATTTTGGACTGATTTACATAGAATCTGCCTCATTCCTAACTGACCAAGTCGTCCTGGAGAAATACAAACAAAAGATAAAAATCAAATCTCTTAAAAGGCTCTTTTATATTATTTGTGGTATTTTTTTAAACTATTATTTTTCATGACATTCTGACTCAGTACTGTTATGAAATGCACCATTGAGCTAAAGAAAATTAATCATTAATCAAACCAATCATTTAAATTAAAGACTTGGAAAGTAAAATGAAATATATTAATTAGAAAAAAGTATGAAACATTATAATAATTTAACTTCATAGATTTTATTTTTATATTTAAATTCAAATATAAAACTTTACAATTACTTTAAAACTAAATACAGTATTAATCACTTCATGCAAACTCAACTTACCAATCAATCCAGCCATCAGAGAAAGCAAGCAAAATAATAGGCCATGAAGACTGCATACCTCATCCCAGTGTAGATATTTAGTCAGGTATTCCAAAATGTCATCTTCTGCTAATAATTTAACTTCATAGATTTTATTTTTATATTTAAATTCAAATATAAAACTTTACAATTACTTTAAAACTAAATACAGTATTAATCACTTCATGCAAACTCAACTTACCAATCAATCGCAACACAGCTGCTACAGAAACATCACGGACTGGGGATTGCTGAAACCTTGGTTGTGTCACCCAAGTGTTCATGATGGGCCACAGCTCTTTGCTATAAAAAAAAAAAAATCATGATAAATATATTATGTATTATTTTAAAATACATATTATGTATGCTTGATGCAAAATGATTTAACAATCTGTATGCAATAGATAAATATACCCAATAACATAATCGTGTGTCCATTTCCATTTCATTTGTGTACACAAGAGATCCAAGGTATATATATATTCCCATGCAGCTGGGCAAAGGTCATGACCATGACGATCATGCTTCTGGAATGTCAAATCTTTGTCTTCTTGAAGTGCTTTCACTGTGCTGCTAATCAATTTATGAATGTCATCAGGTGGACTCTAGAAAATATTAAGGGACAACTGATAAAATGCTTAAACTTAATCATGCAAATATGTAAAAACATTAGTTCCATGCATTAATTTAAAGGTAAAAGAAAAAATATTACACTGTTATGTGGCCACTCTTTATACATATGATGCCCAGAGGAAAGTTAACAGGGTCAGGATGGAAATTACAGCATCTATAGGCTTTGTATTAATAGTTATTGGTAATGGAATAAATCATGGTAGTGATGTTAGCTCCAGCCATCAGAGAAAGCAAGCAAAATAATAGGCCATGAAGACTGCATACCTCATCCCAGTGTAGATATTTAGTCAGGTATTCCAAAATGTCATCTTCTGCTTTAAGCTTGGCCACTGTATGAACGGCTTTGCACAAGGAGGTCTCATGGAAGAGCACACTTGGCCATGTTGCGACCATGAACAAAATTAGCTTGGAGGCATTAGGAAAATCTGTGAGTAAAGAATCCTGATTGAATCAACAACTCAAAGGACACGTTTCGTCTTTGAAAGTGTACTAATACAAACACTTAAAATGGGTAAAGAACTAAAATGAGCATATTGTATAAATATAATGGAAGAAGTTGCTGTAAACTCACCCTCTTTGAGAATATTATATGCTAAGGCATGGGCTTTCTGATAGTCCCCTATCTGGCGACATATCCCGGTGTAGACTCTACAGAGAGCTTGTACATTTTTACAACTCAGAATGCTCTTCTCAGTCTTTAATTTAGTCAAGATGGCAGACATGAGCTTTTCTGCTGAAGACTAAAGAAACAGAAGAAAAATGTGTGCATCAATATCCTCAAGGCTGCATTAACTAGAAAAGGCATCTGAATTGTGCAAAGCATAAACATACCCGATTCAAACAGAAATCAGCAATTACAGCCTTTTCTTCATCAATCAAAATTGGCACCTGAGATATTCTCCCAAGAAACACATGGCTCTTAACAACAGGCAATACATCAAAACAGGACATTCCAACTTTGGCCAGCACTTATGAGATCTGACAATTGATGTCATTTGTCTTGTTGTCTTTCTCAATTCTCTGCTCTTCTTGATTGCTTTGTATTTCTTGGTTAGATTTGATGGACTCCATTTTAATAACAGTTTGATGATCCATTACTTGCTCTGCAGAAGAAGCAACACCGGGAGGAGCAGGTGAACAGTTGTCGAGTCTGAGTCTTTTAGCACTCTTTGGCAAAAGCATGTTCACACCTGTCCCTTTTGGTTTCTGCTCTGTTTTGGTAAAGGCAGTAGATGAAGAACTGATCGTTTTATTTCCTGATATCTTGTTAACAGACGGTGGGGAGGTGCCATTCTCATTTCCAGCTCGGGTCAGGTTAACATTCCCATGAAGTATGTTTAAAGTGCGGGCTCGTGCAGAGAGTTCAGGATACATAGTTTCTAGCATCTGCATGGAATTTTCTTGAGAAACAGCAGGAGGGGAAGCTGATACGGCAGATGATGGAAGCCTTCCTGGAACCGGAACAGCATGTTTTGGAGTAGCTGATCCAAACTGCAGTGGTGAGGAGGGAACTCCACAAGATGGTGATGGAGTGGTCAAGCACAGAGACATTTTTGATGCATCTGGAATAGCTGAATCAAAAACAGGCACAGACAGCATCTTTGGTCCATCTGTTAGTAATCTTGAGGATATTGAAGTAGGCTTTAAAGGAGTGTGATGTTTTCCAAACCTTGGAGGAGTAGCAGTCAGTGGCATAACAACTGGATGTAGGGGTGGACCCATCTCTGTTCGAACCCTTCCAAGAGATAAACATGAGGTTGGTGTAATATGGGTTGTTGTGTTATGACCTGGAACAAGTGAAATATCACCCTTTTCAAAGGTAGCATATTCTGGATCCAGAGTATCTTGGCATGGTGTGCTGGTATCCTCAACACTACCCACTGCAGAATCGCCTGATGTTTCCTTGTGGTTGTAAACATCACTGACAAAATTTTCAACACCTGGGCTATGGGTATCAGCTGACATCCCATCTACCTGCTGATGAGATTCATTGTTCAGCTGCACCAATGTTTTTCTTGGCCTCTCGGATTCACTTTCTTTAGTATCCTTAGGCTTGATTTCGTGACTCAATAACTTGCACACATTCTGAACAATTTTATAATTTTCTGTGCATTCAGAATCTTTTTTATCCTCAGACTTCATGATCACTGTGGAAAGTGCTCTGTTCTCAGAAAGAAATTCCTGAGGCTCATCTTTGGACATCTGCTTTGCAGTGGAACACTGCTTATTCCTAGAAACATTCTCCAACTCTTCTGATGGGATCCTTCCCTCAGACCTTGAGTGAACACCCCTAACCTTTCTCGTCAAACCAAAGAACCCTTCATCTTCTGATGATGATTCTTGATACTTTAAGGGTCTTATAGAGCAATCACCTCCATTTTTTCTCACATCCAAACTTTTTTGATATTCTGTAGGCTTTGAATTATCTTCTTCAGCCTGATCAGCCTTGTAAACCAATATGCTCTGAATGTCATATGTTGATATATCTGCTACAGTCTTCATTTCCAATGGTTCAGAACTCTTTGATTCCTTATTCTCAACACTGTCTGATTTACTATAGTT